CGGTTTCCTGTTCCGACTCCCACGAAAGCACAATCCCCAGAACCCATCATGGACCCCTCCACCCAAACACAGGTAGTCCACACCAAGAGAATGAAAAATTTCTAAACTTTATGGAGAAAGCAACAATGACAATTAGCCAAAAACGACCCTCCAAAATTCCGTCTCACTCCAAGGCCGACTCCCCTAGCCTTCGCTAGCTGTAGGATCTCCAGGGTCACAGTTCTCAGGGATCCTGAGGGTTTCCCAACGCTGTGTTCCGAAGGGTCCACAAGAAGGCAGGTCAGGCAAGAGGCCCCGGGTAAGCACTTCTGCACAACGAAAGCACGAGAAACAGGAGTCACAGAGAATCGGTCCACTTGGGGACAGGAACACGGGGGGATGACGGCAAACGGGAAGAACGAACGCAGGAGGGGAAAGGTGCTCTCACACAGAGGTGACATGGGGTGGGAGCGTCTCAGTTCTCCTCGGGCTTGTCGGCTGGCGGTCCACAGGGCTGCAGCATCTTCTCCATCAAGTTGAAGCGGACTCGCGCTTTGCTCTCATTCTCTGCAATGGCGAAGTAGTTGAGAAGGTCGAAGTGGCCCATGTAGGAGCAGTAAGAGTCGCGGTGCTGGTTCACCAGCCACTCCCACTTGGTGGTGTCGGCGTGGCCTGTGCCGATGTACTTGGACTGCAGGTGCTCCAGCTGGCTGTGAATGGTGTAGCGGTCCGTCATCTTGCCGCTTTCCGCGCTGCTCCCAGGTCAGAGGCCACAGACGAGAGGTAGCGGCTCTAGAATTCCACGCCGCAGAGGAACCGCTTCACGGAACCCTCCAAATCCGTGCAGTCGCCGGCGAATGGCGTCACTGCGATGAAGCTGCGTGGGCTCGCGGCTCTCGGTCTCAGAGGCGGAAGCGGAAGTGTGTTCTGTCGCTGAATTGGAGTTGCCTAGGCGACGCTACCAGTCGGCCGCCCGTATAGAGAGCGTTGCATGATGGTCCATTTTAGTGGCCCTTTCCCTAAGTGGGAGCTTTGCATGCTGGGACTTGTGGTCTCAGAGGCCTCGTGCACCCTGGTTTCTGGGACTCCACGTCGCTTTTTAAGAGGCCTTAGTGTAATGGGGGTGGTATATGGGGGACGGCAGGGTCCTTGCGCGACTTGGAGCTGATAGGAAATAGGCAACCCAAGTAGGACAGAACCACAGGCAAATGAGAAAATAAACTAGGTGTAATTTTAATTTCTGGACTAAAGCGGCGGCGCGGTAGCCGCTTCACAACGAGGGGTAGATCACCCCGAAGTCTGGAGACGCGAGTTCTGGTCTTTTACAAGTCCTGTGGAGTGAAAGTTATTTATTTCAACGCTTGCAGGGCCGCCGTTTCCTGCCTGGTGACTAATGTACAGTACCAGTTCCAACACGTTCCGGCTCTCACATCAAGCCCCTCCTTTCCTCTTGAGCATATTTTGATATACTCCCTTCAACTCACCCCACCCTGCACGCCCCAGCCTATATTTTCTCTACGTTCCGTGCTGCTCGCCTCTCCAGTTCTTTGTACAAGCTGTTCCCTCTGCTTGGAATGCCTTTGTACCCTTGGCAAACACTTCACCCTTTAAGTCAGCTCAAAAGCATCTCCTTGAAATCGGCTTTGGCTGATACAGAGAGATGTAAATTATCCCTTCTCTTTACATCTTGTACTTTCTGCACTATCGCTTTATATCCTGTGTTTTGGTTTAAGAAGTTCCTCATGCGCACACAAACTACTTGAGAAAATTTACTTTTTCGATGGTATCTTTTATCATATTCTTTTATGATACTATAGTCTGATGGAGATTGTATTCTCAAGAAACATTCGATGAATAGATAAACAACTGTATAACAGCCAAATAGAACTCTTTACTGGGAGAAAGACGACTTTAAACTAGTTTTATTCTGATACAAAGTTGCAGACGAGTTAATATTGTACTAAATACTGGAAATTTTCTAAATGTAGATTTTAGATGCTCTCACCACACAGGCAAAAATAAAAAAATACTATGGTAGGAGATGGATATGTTAATTACCTTGACTGTAGTAATTATTTCATTATGTATATCAAATCATTTTGCATACCTTAAATATATACAATTTTTATTTTTAAAAAGATTAAAAAAGAAAACAAACATATTCGCTATGGGATCAAATGCCCATACCAAAATGAAAATAAAAGTTTTATTCTTTAGTTTAAACTTTGTCATAACAAACATTTAATTCCTAAAATATAGAGACTATTATAAGGTATACCTGTAAATTCACTATCTGGATATAGCAAATATTTCCATTTTGCAATTTTTGTTTTCAACTTTATTGTTTTGTTTTTTAAGAAAAGAAAACTAGAAATAAACGAAGTCCCCTGTGTTTCCCTCCCTAATCTATTCATTTTAGGATACTATCTTGAATTTAGAGTTAATTATTCATGAGCCTGCTTTTTTGATTGCTGATAGTTTGAGCATCCGTAACCAATAGGTGTTAGTGTTAGGCATGTTCTAACGCTTTATATAACACCCAGTATATATTGTTATGAAAGTTGCTTTTCCCCCCACCAGTATCCATGTTGATTTATGTAGCTTTAGTTCATTTTTACTGTTGTGTAGTATGCATTAACGTACCATAACATGTTCATTTTCTCAATAATGGACATTTAATTTCACATTTTTACTATAAGAAACAATGCTGCAAGAAATACTCTTGTACATATATTCTTATACATGTGAAGGAGTTTCTTTGGGGAATATAGTTAGATATAAAGTTGTTGAGATATAGAGATGAGTATCTTCAAGCTTTGCTAGATATTACCAGATTGCTCTCTAAATGGATTATATCAACTGGCTCTCCCACCAGCAGAATGAGAATTCCTTTTGATCCACACTCCACCTTAGACTTTAAAAAAATTTTCAAATTAGATGAGTGGAATGGAATTTCATTGTGCTTTTACTTCGCATATCCCTGCTTACAAGGAAGACTGAGCATTTATGTGTTTATTGGCCTATTATATTTCTGCTTCTGTAAATTTCATATTCATATCCTTTGCCTATTTTCTTATTGGGATGTTTTTCTTTTTCTTACTAATTTTTAAGAGATCTTTATATATGCAGGATTCTAAGCTCATCAGTTAGAATGCAATGAAAATAATTTTTTCCAGTCCGTGGCTCATCTTTACTCTCTCTTTATTGTGTCTTCTGTTGTACAGAGGTTAAGTTTAAAGTAGTAAAATCTATCAGCCTTCCTTTATAGTTCATGCCTTTTGCATTTGGTTTAAAAAATGAAATAAAGCAAAACTTTTTTCTACCCTGGGCCTTCATTTTTCTTCTAAAAGTTTTAGAATTTTGGTTTTTTGTATTTAGAACTTTAATCTACCTGGAGGTTTTGTTTTGTTTTGCTTTACGGATCTAATTTTGAAGTACTTTCCTATATTGCTAACTAGTTCTTAGCTTAGTGATAACCAATCATTCATTAAACAGTACATCCTTTCTTTATTCATCTTTGGTGCTTCTGTTGTATATGAATAGGTCTGTTTCTGAGAATTCTGTTCTATCAGTTTTTGGGTGCATACCCACACTAGTAATATAAGATCTTAATTATTGTACCTTTATAATAAGTCTTAATATCTGACAGGGTGAAACCTTATACAGTTTTCTTCTTTCATAAATGTTTTAACTATTCTTGATCCTTTGCTCTTCTACATAAATTTAGAATTGTCAGTAAAATCTTCATGGAAATTGTAACTGAGTAGTCAAACAAAGCCATGAAAATTAATACTATTTCTATATCACTAAGAATGATTATAAGGATATGAGAGAATGTGCAAATTCAGAGATCTTTAGAGCTAGATTGAAAATACATTTACATGTAATAAGACCCAAAGTGTATTAGTTTGCTAGGGCTCCCAAAACAAACTACCACAGGCCATGTGGCTTAAACACTAGAAATTTATTTCCTCACAATTCTGGAGGCTAGAAGTTCAAAATTAAGGTGATGGCAAGTTTGGTTTCATTCTGAGGTCTCTCTCCTTGGCTTGCCAATTGCCATCTTCTGTGTCTTCACATGATCTTCCCTGTGTGTCTGTGTCCTAACCTCCTTTTCTTATAAAGACACCAGTCATGTTAGATTAGGGTCCACCCATATAACCTCGTTTTGCCTTAATTACCTCTTTATAGGTTCTATCTCCAAATGCAATCACATTCTGAATTGCTGGGGCTTAGGACTTCACACATGAATTTTGTGGGGGACACAATTCAGCTGTGGAACATATAAGAAAATTTGTTTCTTCTCATATATTTGTAAATTTAATTAATCATATTTGTGAAAATAATTTAAATATGTGAAAAGATTTTATTTGTTAAAACAGACAATTGCAATATTTATAAGGGAAATGAAATGTATTACATTAATAAGTGTGGCTTAAAATGTTTGAGAGTTAAAATTTAAAGTGGAACTAAATTTTATCCAAAGGCCCCTTAAAAATGATTGTGAAAATTTGCTAGACTTACGCTTTAGGATTTTAAAGCTGAACTTAAAAGCTTAAGAAAAAAGGCAATTTTTAATAAATCGAACACTGACTTTTCAAATGCAAATAAATCTCTGAACAGTACTTTCTATATTCCCCTAAATGATCATCAACTGCACCAAAAAACTCTGCTTTAATTTTGACTGTAAGTACATTCAATTTATAGGCTTATTTGGGGAGAATTTTCATCTTAACTCTACTGAATTTTCTCATCTAAGAATACAGTATATATTTCCATTAATCTATGTCTACTTTTTTTACTTTAAGTAAAGCTTGTAATATTTTCTCTCTATGGGTCCTTCACGTCTTCTGATAGATGTAGTCCTGGGTATCTGCTATGTATACTTAAAAGATGTTCCTTATGAGTCTTAAATTGTGACCTAGCAAGGAATATCACACATTCTTTACACTTATTGCCAATAGAGAATTTTGTTCTGGAACCAGTGAACTTGTTGCCAAGACAAGCCAGGACAGCTGTTATTATTTCATGCCTCAAGATATAACTCAAATCAATCCTGTCTGTAAAGCTGCTTCTATGTCCTATGTAACTATCAAATGTTGACGTACAATTTGGCATCCGAATAAGAAAAAAATATGCAAGAAAAGATTCCACTATAGGTTCTATCTCCAAATGCAATCACATTCTGAATTGCTGGGGCTTAGGACTTCACACATGAATTTTGTGGGGGACACAATTCAGCTGTGGAACATATAAGAAAATTTGTTTCTTCTCATATATTTGTAAATTTAATTAATCATATTTGTGAAAATAATTTAAATATGTGAAAAGATTTTATTTGTTAAAACAGACAATTGCAATATTTATAAGGGAAATGAAATGTATTACATTAATAAGTGTGGCTTAAAATGTTTGAGAGTTAAAATTTAAAGTGGAACTAAATTTTATCCAAAGGCCCCTTAAAAATGATTGTGAAAATTTGCTAGACTTACGCTTTAGGATTTTAAAGCTGAACTTAAAAGCTTAAGAAAAAAGGCAATTTTTAATAAATCGAACACTGACTTTTCAAATGCAAATAAATCTCTGAACAGTACTTTCTATATTCCCCTAAATGATCATCAACTGCACCAAAAAACCCTGCTTTAATTTTGACTGTAAGTACATTCAATTTATAGGCTTATTTGGGGAGAATTTTCATCTTAACTCTACTGAATTTTCTCATCTAAGAATACAGTATATATTTCCATTAATCTATGTCTACTTTTTTTTACTTTAAGTAAAGCTTGTATAATTTTCTCCCTATGGGTCCTTCACGTCTTCTGATAGATGTAGTCCTGGGTATCTGCTATGTATACTTAAAAGATGTTCCTTATGAGTCTTAAATTGTGACCTAGCAAGGAATATCACACATTCTT